ATTATTTTTTTGACACATTCCTTTCAGCCATTCGAACGATATAAAAAGAAATTAGAAATTTTTTGTCTTTGTTTCTCCGTTCACGTTTTTTTGTTCTTTCTTAGAATCTTTGGATATGTTGAAGCCCCATCTTAAATCATGTGTAAAGCAAAGTAAAAGACATTTTTGAAAACTGAATACATCGAAAGAAAGAGTGCATCGGCGGACACAAAAAATAGTCAAATCAGTTTGCATCACTTCTTCTAAAGTTGGTAAAAAAACGAAAATAGTCAATTTTCACGCAACCTGAAGCCTCATTTTCTCGCTTTTTTTTTCTACGTAGCGTTCGAACTACCGATCGAATCTGAGTGAAACTTTTACCCAAGATAATGCACATAAACCTGTAGTAGCGGTAGAAATTTCGGACTATTATCACACTTAAAAGTGGAAAATTTTTACATTATACAAGAAAAATGAAGCTTCCTTTTTTTTGAAGCCTCAATTTGTTTTGAGTTTTTTCGATTGAGAAAGGATGAAATATCGACTTGCTCCACGTAGACAAGTAATTCTGGGAGCTTCTCAAACATAAAAAACGATTTTTGCTGTTAAAGGGATCAATGATCTGATTACGATGTTCATGTTCAGTAATAGTTGTTGAAGGCGTACGGTTGGACTCGTTGTCGACGATGAGAGTAATTGAATAGAAGATACAGCTAATTGATTAGAAGAAAAAGAAAACAATTTGATGATGCAGTGAATTTTCAACCGAACGATTCGTCTGAAAATGTACTTGATCTACTGAATGTTGTTGAAAACTCTACAGATATTAAGTTATTTATTTGTGATACTGATGACATTGAGAAACAGAAGAAGTCCATACCAAAACTAACAACAGTGAAAGGAACAACCACATTTCATAAAGTAACAGCCACGAAAGATAGAAAACTCTTCACAAAAGAATTGTCATGCGACAATGGAAAGCTGTTGAAAGTGAAATTTTAGTGAAGGGAGGAAAAAGAGCAGTAGTTTACTTGCGATATTATAGAGTAATTTGAGTTTTGAAGGTGATTTATTTTAACAAGTTGTGTGTTTTTTGTTTCTTCTAGATGATTTTATGAGCAGGAAAAGATGAAGACTGAAGACAGATGGAAGCGTTGCTCGGAATAATTTTTTTGTGCAGTATGAAGCGACTGCTACGGAAACGAAGTCTGTGAAAAGCTACCAGAATACAGATTACGGAAAGAGGACAGTAAATAAAGGCGTAATACACTCGTCTATAAGCGAAAGCCTTCAATTTTTTATATTATTTGACTTTCTGAAGGAAGTTTTACATTCTTTAGACGCTTGTGAAGAGCGGTGTGCTCTGGGATGCACAGGAGCAGATAGCTCTCGTCAAGATCTTCCAAACGGTGTATCGTATGAGTGATTTTAAACTGCTTTTTTGAGTGTTTCCTCCAACAACCTAACGGACTAAAAAGGGCAACATTGATGATGCGTTATCACAACCTACCTGAGAAGTGGTAGCTGAGAAGTGGTAGCTGGGAGATTTTTAGTGGATACTCAGAAAAGAACGCAGAACAAAGTCTACTATTCAAATTTTCAAAAAACTCACTTTCAATTTTTTTCTCAATTGTACAACTAAGTTGCTTTTCACTCATATATAGTATCTAGACCATACCGATTATATATATATATATAGTACGAGAAGAGAGAAAACGACGCAAAATAAAATGCTGCGCATGCCCGATTGCGTATCGTGCACGTGAACCACTCTATTATTATGGAAAGAATGGAAAAAAACGTTTTTAATATTTACATTGAATCATGATCTATTTCATAAAACACAAATAAATAGTTCTACCTTTTTTAGTTTCAAAATGTCTGCGTGTAATAAACAGCTTTAAGTTTGTCATAAAAAAACAACAGTGTTTTATTTATACAAGTTTTATATTACCATTGAAATAACATCATCATTAGACGATACGAAATACGTACAATTTTACCATTAAAGTAAGTTATCTTATATTCTATTTTATTTGACTATCAACTGAATAAACAGTAATGGCGGTCAAAAGGTGCAAACCTTGAGGACTCCCGATTCTCACCTGAGGCTATGCAGAACTTCAGACATATTTTAGCTTTTTCCAAGGCTGACAACCTTATCGTCAATTACTTTCTCTTTAACCTAACGGTCAACTAATCTGGCATTGCTCTGTTAGAACTGATAAATTTTATGATTTATCAAGAAATTGTAAGAGTCTCTCCCAGTCTAGAATAATATAAAATCTATGGGATAAACAATAATTACTAGTTTTCCAACTTGTAAACGTAAGAAGCAATATAATGAAAATACGATTCAAATCAATACTAATATTTCCAGCGTAATTCAAACAATTTTAAATTTATCTAGATTGGTCTCTATTTCACTTGCATAAGCGGTATCAGTGTTGGTCGAGCTAGTAGACAGCATAGGTGATGACAAACAGTTTAATACAAGAAGGAAACATCTTGTAGATAAGTTGTCGACTATTAAGTAGTGAGCGTTAATAGAAACATAACTCGAAGTCGACCCAACTGTCAAAATGTCGACAACAACTTAATCCGACCAGAGAAAACTGTTTTGGGCAAAACATATAGACTTACCTTGCTAGACAAAACTTTTTCAGTGTATATTGTTGCATCTAGCTCAAACATTTTTTATTTACTATGCAATATTTTCATACAAAACAACGGATGCTGTTTCCTATCAGTACAAACTACTTAAGAGATCACTTTTCTATTGTCTAAAATTTGTTAAAAGTAACGCAGCGTCTACTGAGTCAGGATATAATCGTTGATGCTAGACTTCTAAAAATCTGCCGGCATTGCTGAAAATTCTTTTAGCAACAGCTGAACTAGCAAGAATGAATAAAAATAACTCTGCTACACTACTCAGTTGTGGATATGCTGCTTCTTGTTTCTTCCACCATAATGAAACATTTCCTTCAGAATTAAAACCTAATTTTGCTCTCGAATATTCAGCTACTTCATCTGGTACTCTTCACCTGTTTCTTGATTATACTGGCGAGCGAATTCTTTTAAAACACCATTCACTGTTACCAATTTTTTGTTAAATCGTTTTGATTTTGGATCTTGTTTTCTATTCTTTTGATCTAATTTTGGATAATACGTTTTCTTGTATCGGCTAACGTTTCTTCACGCTCAGGATCATCATCATCATCAATCGACGGCAAACAAGGTTGGTTTACAGGCGGCTACAATTTTCTTTCATTCTTTGCGATCTTGTGCTGTTCTTCGTATTTCGTCGGCTGTAAGATGGTACGTCACTTTTGATGAGCTTGTCTATGTACTGGGAATACAACATCCGCGGCTTGCCTCTGCCTCTTTTCCAGTGATTTTCTTCGGATGTATAGAGAACGTATTTGCTGAGCAACTCGTTCTCATTCTGTCTAAGACAACGCCAGACAAATCTCAATTGTCTGTGCTGAATTTATAAATAAGGCGGTCAAGGCCGACCATCTGATATATCTCTTCGTTCCGTTTCTTATCCAAGTGTTTGATGCTAAGCATGACTCTGTAGTAGTTGGTCATACTCATCGTTTGTTAATGCTAATGACACACAGACCACATCTTATATTCAATGACTTGATGAAATGATGGAAAGGTTAAATTCTTAGAGCAACGACGAAAGCCTTATCTTGTTATCAAGTTTCTCGCGCAAAGCTTTTCTCGAATCTACGAATCGTTAATGTGTACGTAGTGTTTTTATCTTCACAAAACAACTTGAGTTTTGTTAAACTCAAATTAATCTAGATTATATGTTGGTTCATGATCAGCACTAGCTTCACTAGCTGTTTTAAACTGAGATAATATCGTCACAGCTTCATTAACAAAACGTTCTTCAATTCCTAGCATAGAATCATCTTCTCTTCGTGCTTTTTAACAATAATTCAGACTGTTCAAAATCACTTTTGATTGAATTAGCATATTATATATACTATTCCAGCGTGTCTCACAATCGTTTTTTAAACTTTTTGTTAAAGTTTGATTTAATTCAGTTTTTTTAAATGAGAACATAATGACCCACACCCTAACGAAAGAGTTCTTTCACTTTACTTTTTAGTAGTGCTAATAAATTTTTTATCACTTCAGAGATAGTGTAAATGTTCGAAGCACGAAAAACCTGTCTAGGCCGGGCTCAGAGCTTTCTAGGCAGAGCTCAGCCTAATCTAGCCCTGTTGGTGGCTCCGGCACTACATTTATTTTTCAATGCAGCTTCTGAATTGAAACCGTCATCACTGACGTAAATTATATTGCATTTGTTCTGTTCAAGATCGTAATTTCTTAACGTTGCATCAAGTGCTAAAACATTCGAAAATCACGTGTTTTGGAGAAACTTGAGATTTAGAGATATGGGCTATCGCCTCATCGGTTTCACCTCAGAAGATAGAGAAGATGGTGTAATCGATGGCTACCGTACCCTTTTTCTCATTTTAGCCCATTCTCGATGCAGAGTACAACATCAGAAAACAATCGTGTGCACTGTATTTTGAAACAGCTAGTAGTTGATTTGTGTTGGTGTTCATAGAGATGATGATCACATCCTTTTCCTCATTGGTCAGTTAATACAACTTGATAGTAAGATGACAAGTAGAAAGCACTATAGTACTGTCGCCTGAGTACGAGAGTTTAATGCAGTATACAAAAAACACAGCAGAAAAAGCAGTATGGGAATGTATATCTGTTGATTTCGGTACAGGAAGCACTCTCTTGTGTGCAAAGAAAGCAATCGTTAATCGACTTCGTGAATGCAGTTTTTGAAATAAGTATTTTAACTGGAAATTTCAATAGAGATAACTTTCAAAGAGTAATACAAAATTCAAATTATTATCTATATCTTGAAATGCGCCGTAAAAGGTTCAATCCGAACCGACCAGGTCCGATCGGGTTGGGTTTGGGTTGCAGATCTCTACTCTTAAGTACATTTTCCAGTTATGAATTTTATAGATTGAAAAACAGAAATGTCAGCAGAATCTTATTGGACAGTAACGACTGGTCATGCAAATCGAACTGGCTGGAGTTGTCGTGAATGTCATGCTGTAATATACCAAGGCGAGCCAATAGTGATACGCGATGGGCGTAAGCTTCGCTTAATGTATCATGAACGTTGTTATAGTGGTGTTTCAGATCCACGCACACAATCTGGTAGCTCTTACCACGACCAAAAATGGACAAATACTCAACCTATTCAACAAAAAGCACCACCGGTCAAAGGGTATGGTAAATGGAGTTGCAGTGAATACGGTTATAAAGGTGATTTATATGCACCGGTTTCAAATGTAAAAAATATGCGATCAAGATCTAAAGAATCAAATGGAACAGCGACATCGCTATCACCTGTCCGAAAAACCGGACATTCAAGCCCACCTAGGAAGAGTTTCTAGGGCACCAACTATCCAGTTAACTTCTGTCAAACATCGCATTGTACGTGGTGTGAATCATTTAAACGATATGTTATTATAATCGAGCGATAGGTATGGATGAAAGGTACAGTCATTGTAGCGTTAACAGATTAGAACAGAAAATAATTAAGAAATCGTTAAATTTTTTGAAGCGGGGCAGTTGACAGAGCATCGCTGACTGTCTACCAGAAAAAGCTTGCTGACAGTTGACTAACGGAAGGTGCAAAATTTGACTTTTACTGGAATTAGGCAAATCCCCGCGGTAATTGTTTTTTTGAGGGCCCAATTTCATTAGCTAATCTATTGATTTCATGTAGTAATCGATAGAACTCGATCAGAAGAATCGATTAAAGTATGTTAGAAATCTTTGTGGATCGCGTTTAAACACCCAAAAAGACTGCTTTTTCAATTGTAAAATACATTTTTTTAATGTACAGTTTTTTTCCATTTCTTTATCAAGTTCTGTTCTTCGCAGAAACAACAATAAATTGTACAAAAACTACCCATCAGATCCCCAGAGAGTCACATAAGCAAAACTAAACTTGAGAAAAAGAGAAAGTACGCATCTATGGATTATCTTACTCCTTTTAGAAATAGAAGTCATTTTGAATATCTAAGCCATTGTAAACTAGTTGAACAGCCAGATAACTGGGAGTGGCTAAGAAAAGTTATGAATTATTGACTGTTATATCTGACGATAATCTTTTTTCCCTTTTAATCAATTTTGGCTCAGAAAACTGTTTAAACTAAAAGAACCTCGGTCTCGGTTTTAGTCTATAGTCTATTTATGTTATATGCTTAAAAACGAATTGTTTGCAAAAGAATCTGCACGAACGAAACGTTTCGCTGAAGAGCAACTATGTGAACAGATTTATACTGAAAATGATTGAACGATGAAAATGCATTGCTATCATAATAATTAATGCAATTTCATTAAATGGATTAATCACTATCCATGGAATAATTTTGATACCCTAACGCAGCTTAGTACTCGTTAAAAATGTCTTTTTAACCAAAATTACATTTAAACGGTTAAATTTTCAAAAATCACGCATACTGACGCTTCTTCCGACAAGCAAACGAACAAACAAACGCTTCTTTCGAGTGGTGATGTATGAGAACTCGTTAAATATAATTCTGAAAGATCTAACGAGTTCTCACGCGTTCAAGTCCGTTAAGATCTTGTTGATGCATATGAATGAGTTTAATACGAAAAAGTTACTTGTAATGGGTTTGTACCAGTGTGGGTATGGAATGCACTCTAACTGCTCTTAAATAATGATGCCACCAAAATCGATTACAATTAGGACCATCAGATTTAACTGCTTTGAAATCGAATTGTTACGTGTTATATATAGGCATTCACCAATATCAAGCATTATTGAAGATATTGTACAATATTATTGGATATCCAATATATTGTGTTGGTGCATGACTAGTTATATAATCGTGTTTTACACGCTGATCTATCACATGTAATCATACGTTCGACCAATCACAAACGTAAATTGTATACATGTACAATTTCCATTCAAATCCGTTGAATTTAGGAAAACGCACACGGGGCTTCAAGTAATCATACGTTCATCTCAAATAACTGAACACATCTATCCACGGTCGTTTTTTTCTTCTCTACAGGCGACCTTTTTATATAAACAAGCAGTAGAAGAAGTAGTTCGAAATTGCGCTGACGCGGTAGCGAAGATTAAATAGAATAAAAAGATCATCTGATTACTAAATTTTTTCTTATTATGGTCCAAAAGTAGAACCTCATATGTGCAAGATAAAAACGAATACAGTTGCTAAAAGGAGAGCAGCGCTCGATTATATTACTCCCCTCTTCTTTTCAGCAACAACGGACATGGGCTAATCAAAAACATCACATAACAGAGAACGCATCGCATGCTGTTAATAGCGTACTTCTGTTGAAATTATTATCGACTAAACTGTAGCAAGTTGTTAACGCGCTCCATGTTTCAAACTCAAACGTTGAAACATGTGAATTCATCGAAAACCGATCATATACAATTCGAACGCGTTTGATCAAAAAGAAAAAATGTATATTTCTAAGCAAGACCTATTTTAACTCGTTTACACGGATAGAATAACTTTTATCCCATACAAACTCGTTCAGGGATGATTCATCAAATTTTCAAGCGTTCAGACGCGTTAAAGCAGCGATTAGCACGTTTTGTTTTGCATAACCAAATCATATATAAATATCACGCCTTTTCCTTCGAAATATACGAAATATTTGCTTAGACGTTTTTCTCTTGCAGTAAATTACTGTAAGAGACTAGTCCACCATAATGGTACTGATGAACAGTACCTAGCGGACCATAATCTGATGGGACCTAGATTGAACCAAATCATACAAACGCGTTAAATATATTAACGCATTCTAACGAGTTAGAACATTTTGAATCCAAAGAATTTTATTCTAACGAATATTAACGCGTTCAAGGTCGTTAAAAAGCCGAACGAGTTTGAATGCTCTACTACTGAGGTCTAACGTTAGCGCACGTTACAAATTCAACTTGTAAAACCCGCCGAATATGAAACATTTAACGCGTTAATCCGCTTACCTGTCCCGTTACAATTTCAAACCTTTCCGGATTCACTACTTTTAACTCAGCTTTTAGAGGGCTGCGCGATTACAATTACAAAATGTAAAGTTCATACATTGCTATTATCTGTAGAATTAAGAATTCTAGAATTATGAACTTTACATACATGTAAAGTTGCTTATTCACACTCATCCTCATCCTCACCCCCACATTCACCCCTAGAATTCGGAATTTTAGAAAATTCTGAACAAGTAAAGTTCAACTTTACATACATGTAAAGTTCATAATTCTAGAATTCTTAATTCTACAGGTAATAGCAATGTTTGAACTTTACATTTTGTAATTGTAATCGCGCACGTCTGAGCTTTTACTATTTTTGTAATGAAATTGTGCTTTAACGAGTTAGTATTAATTTTGAGACATTTCTGGTCGCCTACAAGTTCGAAAGATTACGCGTTTGCACACTTTCCAGAGCATCCAAATTGTGAACACACGTTAAGTTATTAGTTCTTTTAACGCGTGCTAATCTGCATTAGGGTATCAAAATTATTTCATGGGGAATCCAACAGATAAATCATTAATCCAATTTTCCACTCCAATTAATCCAATTTCTTTCGTTAACCGCAGTAAACTCGCATGATTCATACAGAATTTTGACAAAGAATTTGTCTTTTCTGTAAATACGTTAAAATGTTTATCACCGAAATTGTGTCGATGATGTTCTACGTATATATTCTCAACTGTGTTGAGTGAAAAGTTACAGAAAGGCAGTCATGAGGACTGCGTGCGTAGTAAGTGCCAGTTCAAGTTTCCAAGGCTTGACCTTTTTTGTAACAAAACAAGCGGTTGTAAAACGAAATTTTACTTATGTGCAAACAAGTCGAGTTTAAACATTGAAATTAATCCAATCTCAGATACTCATTACTGGATGTGAGAAGAAAGCCGATGTTCACCGGTATGCTATTAGAATAGAATTCATTCGTCCTACACTCGTACACAGTTTATCCTATCAGTTCTATGATTTACCGAGCAATAGAAATTTATTTGTCATTTCACCTATGACATACAGAGGCTGAATTAATTTTAAAGTTGACCAGAGAAATGGTTATCCTCAACAATTTGTCCAAAGTCAAATTAGGAAAACTCTTAATAGACATTTTAGAAAACCAACAAAGATTCAAACTTTAGAAGCTAAAGGAAAACAGTTTGAACCTTCCAGAAATGAACAACTTTTCATGGATTTCCCATTTGTTGGGAGCACAAGTAAAATATTAAGCAAAAAGATTATTGATCAGGCGAAAATTGTTCGACCTAATCTTCATCTCCAACCAATTCCTCACCCATTACTCTGAAGTGTCCTCTACAAAGTGGTGAAAAGAAACGGCTGGGGGAACCTCCTCTTAGAGTTGTTCAAATTTTCTTAAATCTCGAAATTAGTCCAAATTAATTTAAAATTATTCAAAGTTCCAATGGGGTACTAGCGTGTCTCCTGTTCAATGACAAAGAGATCGACAAATCAAGACGCACAAAACATTTGAGGAACGATGCATAAGTTTGGAGACAACCTACAAAGGACGTTAGCAAAATACTGCTAGTTATCGCTAGTTTTTCTTAATTTTTTTAACACTTTCGCGACATCCGCAAGCCTTTTTGGTATTTTTGACAATGCAGTTGTGTAGAGCTTTTCGAGCACTATCGACTCCATTAAATTTTTAATTCAATCGGATGAAATTTAAGAGAGGCTATATTGTGGTCCAATAAACAACTGGTGAAAGGCAATAGTTAAAAACTTGAAATAAAAACGAAAAAGTGCTCCATTAAGTGTGCAATCAGTTCTGAAAATATGAAGCCTTAATGAGTTTTAATTTTTATTTCACCACATTCCACGGCAAGCCCATAATGAGGGAGGGTACCCGTAAAATCTCGAGGAGGTCGATTCCACTGTATGCTGGATCCCGTCCTTTCTCATATTGTTCTACATTGTGGAGCTGAGCTGGACTGTCTTGTGTGAGAGAATTATTCTATAAGAAAGCAATGAAATATCCTAATCAAGCTTGAGCGGACAGATGATTAAAACTTGTGTTCGCGAACAAAATGGAAAAAAATGCAAGGTTACTGAGTAATAAACATTTTCTCATAAACCCAGATTCCATTATAGAATCCGAATATAAATTAAAAATCATAGGTTAATTTTTTTGCTCGTGACTACTTTTCGGCAGGATGCTTCATCGCTCACCAAACGTCTCTTAAGTTGATTTGACCGACTTGCTGGTAAATACTGTATGAATTTTAGTTGTGATACAACAATTTAATATTTTATATTTTTTTCTAATAAATGGTCTGAACGGGTTCAGACCATTTATTAGAAACGATAACAAACTTTTGATAAGCATATTTTAAATTTATATATGAAAGCCTCATAAATTCTTAATTCAGATTGAAAAATGAACTAGTAGACTGAAAAATATCAACGTTTTTCTTAAATAAATATTTGTGTTAGAATTCTTGTTCTCTGGTGTTGTTTGATCGGTGGTATAACCAAATGTTGTTGTTACTTTATTTTCATCTGGTTTTATTTCTGTCGTATATTGTTTGTGCGAGAGTGTTGCATATGAATTGCTACCGGACGTTATGTGATCTACAGTCTGTATTATTGACGGCGTTGTTATTGTTGTATTATTAGGTTTCGTAAACAATAAAAGAATATTTATGTCTTTGATAATTTTGATGACATTTTGGAATCTATCTTCATCATTACAGTCATTTATATTACATAGATATTGCACAGTACTACCATCTTTTGTTGTTTCTATTTGAATCCACATATTTTCATCAGGCTCCATGTCGTAACACCCAGCAGAGTGTGTCTCATCGTCTTCCGCATCCTCTTTACCATCAACATAACAAGCAATTTCATCACATTGTTGTGTTTCGTCCACTTCGCTAACATAACATTCTAGTTCAACATTTTCGTCTTTATCGATTAATATTCGTGAGAGCTGACTTTCAGTGACATATGTACACTGCTGGTCTTTGACATTTTATCAATAAACCAATTTGTATATTGTATATCACAATCATTTGTATTACATTCATACGTAACCAAAACAAGGTCAGCAGATGTTTCATCGAATACTATATCCGTTACTACCGCATGAATTAAATTATCATCGTTTATTGTATCACTCGCGTTGGATAAAAATGATACCATAAAAGCTCGAGCGCTGTAGTCCAACAATATTTCAAGACTACAATAGCTAAAACCAATTTTGCGCTCACATTTTGTCTCTATATCGAATTCATCAAATTTACGGGTGAAATTACATGTTGATTTACAATATATTGTATTTTCTTGTTTTAATAATTTTGTTTGTTCATGTCGGTTGACTAATTTTGACGACAAATTCATAGTATCTATTAGTTCAACTAATGAACAAGTTATGACGGTTAAACATAATAAAATAATTGAAAAATTCATAGTTCAATTAGACAATGTGTCGATGTTTAATGGGTATGGTTTTCTCACTTTAATAATAACATAAGTAAGTACTAACGTACTGATGAAATCAGTCTTTTCACTTTCTATATTTTTGTATTAATTCTTGAACGTGATGACAAAAGCTTTAATTTTTTTTTTGTGTTAAAATAAACTATGAATGACGTACAAGGAATTTTGATATACGAATGCTTTTTGCTATACCCAAGAATCAAAAGAGAAAGAACATCACATCAATGAAATAATCTTTTTTCTAGATGAGGAACAAACACAATGGGTTAAAATCTCTGATTCACTAACATTCATAATAAAACAATTTCATGCAACACTCACTGAATGTGCAATTTCTGTATTTTAGCATTTCTGAACTTTAGAACTTCTGAACGTGAGCATTTAAGAATTTCCGTATTTTGAAATTCCGAAATTTTCCAATTTCTGAATTTTACAACTACCGAATTTTCGCATAGAAAAAATTCTATATTTTTTTGGAATTTTCGAATTTGCAATTTCCGAAGTTTAGCAAATAACAATTTCTGAATTTTGGAATTTCTGAATTTCAGAACTTCTGAATTTTCGCATATAAGAATTTCTGATGTGTCGATGTTTAATGAGTATGGTTTTCTGAGTTTAATAATAAAATAAGTAAGTACTGACGTACTGATAAAATCAGTATTAATTCTTGAACGTGATGAAAAAAGCTTTAATTTTTTTTTCTCTTAAAAAAAACTATGAATGACGTACAAGGGTTTTTTGATATACGAATGGGTTTTGCTATACCCAAAAATCAAAAGAGAACGAACATCACATCAATGAAATAATCTTTTTTCTAGATTCTAACATGCTAAACTTGAGAGGTTCTAAAAGTGAGAAGTTCCAAAGTTCAGAAATTCCTATATGCTAAACTTCATAAGTTCCAAAGTTCAAAAATTGCAGAATTGGGAAGTTCTTGTATGCTAAACTTCTTTACTTTAAAAGTCAGAAACTCCAAAACACAGAAATCCTTGTACCCCAAACTTCAGAAGTTCTAAAAGTCGGAAATTCCAAAATTCAGAAATCCTTCTACTGACGTACTGGTAAAATCAGTCTCTTGAGTTTCTGTATTTGTGTCCGTTTCTATATATTGTATCCTTGAACGTGATGACAAAAGCTTTAACGTTTTCTTCTGTTAAAAAAAACTATTTGATATACGAATGCTTTTTGCTATACCGGAGAATCAAAAGAGAAAGAACACCACACCAATGAAATAATCTTTTTTCTAGATGAGGAGCAAACACAATGGGTAAAATCTCTGATTCACTAACATTCATAACAAAACAATTTCATGCAACGCTCTCTGAATGTGCAATTTCCGAATTTCTGAATTTTAGAGCCTGTCACGTTCAGCATATAAGAATTTCCGCATTTTGGAAATCTCTGAACTTTAGAAGTTCTGAACGTTAGCATTTAAGAATTTCCGTATTTTGGAATTCCGGAGTTCTGGAATTTCTGAATTTTCCCATATAAGAATTTCTGAATTTTTAAATATCTGAATTTTACAACTTCTGAATTTCAGAACTACTGAACTTTCGCATAGAGAAAATTCTGACTTTTTGGAATTATGGAATTTGAAAATTTCTCAATTTTAGAACTTCGGAAGTTCAGGATAAAAGAATTTCTGAATTTTAGAACCGCTGAACTTTAGCATATAACAACTTCTGAATTTTGGAATTTCTGAATCTTCGAACCTCTAAAGTTTAGCATAGAAGAATTTCTGATGTGTCGATGTTAAATGGGTATGATTTTCTGATGAGGGAACCGTATCAATTGTCGCTTGTTGTGGCGAAGAACGACGGTGGTTTCGTTCTATATACAGTACATTTCGACATTAACCACAGATAATCATTTCAGACTGCAGCTGCATTCCACGAGCTTTTAGTAAAGTATGTAACCATCGATATTTTTTATTGGAAATTGATCGAAAATTAGCTCTTGACGAACGAATATTCGTGTAAAACACACGACCACAATTAATACAAGAGGGACGCGCTGTCATTATTCAGTAAAACAAATGACTACTCTTTCTTATCTGTCGAGAAGAGATGAATATCATTTTTTTCGATTGATATAAGCTATTTCTTTGAAAAAGTAAGAAATCAGCAATTTTATACTTTTTTTCGATTTCTCCTTAACCTAGATGTATACGCTGATATATACTGAACACGTGCACTCCTTCGTATGCATCACAGTCTTGTTTCTAATAAACCAAAAGAAGAAGATAAAAGTCAGCTGCGTTCAAATAGTGCATAACACAAATAGCAATGAATGTATGATTCATATATGATAGTAAAATTTTGAAAAAAGCACTATACGGCTTGTCCAAGCGTGACGCTGTGACAATTTTCACCCAGTAATTTGAGCTTTCCTCAAAAAGTGTATAAGCTAGAACCGTCGTCCTTGCGCCGTTCGGCGCAGCTCGCCATACTCTACTTTTGGCATAAAAATGAAGGTATGTGGTTAAGGACTCAAACTTTTAGAAGCGTTTTTCGGCGCGTGACGCTGTGACAAAAAAAGGCCCTAAATTCGAAGTGCGTCTCGTTAAAAGCTAATTTGCTACGAATTTA